TCCTGCATTGGCAAACCAACAACAATGCTAATCCACAGAGGAAGATTAAATCCTAGATAATAAGACATGTTGGAATGCCTTATTGACACATTTGCTGTGGAAAGTTAATTAAGAAGTAGGAGTGGATAAAAATTTTCACTCCGCCAAACAGTATGTGTATTGTTGTAGGATGGATCCTACATGTTTAAATATTTGTACTTTGCTCTGGCTGGATGAAACTTGCTGTATAATATTAGTGTCCATATTTCAACTCAATGGTCTTTTTGAACTTGTTACATCTTGAACTGAGTTTCAGCAATGTGGAATATCGTCTTTTTCCTAATTTTTGGGGGTCATCCTGTTTAGCTGATCTAATTTGGTATCAAGCTTGACGTTGTATCCATAATCCTTCAAATTCAATGCTTTGCTTTTACATTACTGATCCTGTACCAATTTTCTTTCCTTTTTAACATATTATGAAGAGGTTAATAGTTAATACCAACTCATCACCTATAGATTTTCCTTAGAGTAAGGTTGCTAGTCTTCTTCTTTCCTCCTATTTTTGTTTCCTTTATGTTGTATCTTTCATTTAGATCCCAGAGAAGTAATCTACTTTGACTATACATGAGGAAGTCCAAGAGAATTGTTATCTATTTAAAATAAGAAGAGACATCCCAAGTGTTGACCCATATTTCTTGACAAACTTTTTCATCCTAAATATAATCGCACTGCAGCCCCCAAGGCCTATCTCAAGTGGCAAAAGGTGGAGGATTTGTGGCTTAGGTCGCAGGTTCAAGCCCCACACCATGCAAAACGAAGCCCGGTATTTAAGTGGAGAATGGTAGAGGGGCGGGCCCATTATCCACCGAGTTTTGAAGGCTGTGATTGGTCCAAAGGGCGGGTCACAGACGGATTTCTCGGTTATCAAAAAAATAAAAATATAACCGCACTGCATCAGAAAATCTTATCTTCGGTCTCCTTCCAAATGCAATAGAGAAGTCCAAGACTTTCTCTTGACATCTTAGTGGGTGCAGGGGAACTCCAAATTGCAACTGCAAATCTTGAATTCACCTTTACATGCATATGGAGTCATTTGTTTTGTTGAAGCAGTTTAACATGCCATAACATTGCAATATCATTCCAATTAATTTAAGTATGCCCAGAGGAAGACATCAGGAAATTCAGTGTAAAAAGCTAACCCATCCTCATACATGATATGGTGTAAAACCTCTAGAGAACATGACATGACAGGAATATTGTTTTAAGCTTTTAGATGAAACAATTGAATAAGTATATTCTGATGTTGTTAAGGGAGCTGGTGAAATATAATTCATCTTGCTGGAATGTGCTCAGTTTGCTGGTAGCAAGTAATTTTAAATGCTTTTAGTCAAACAGGTTTGTTTAGAATCTAGATTTTTTGATAACCGTTCGAGCAAATATCATCTGCAGTTATTTGCTGATACTGGACCGGACAAACTGGAAAACAAATATGCTGACTGGACTTCTAGTCCCATATATTTTCTTCAGTTTCCCTGCAGTGTTATTCCACTTCTTCAGGTAAACTTCTCTTGTTTGCTACTATTTAGTTTTTCCTTGCTTCGTGTCATCCAATATATTCTCTTATCACTTGTTGCTACCTGATTCAAAGAGGTTCTTTTCTTCGTTAATCGATTATCGTTTTTGATCTCCAGAGGCGAGGTTGGGAAATGGATTGCTTTCGTTGCAGTAGTACTCAGGCTTTTCTTCCCACGACATTTTCCAGGTATGAACATTAGCTTTTGATTTATATGATGAAAGTAACCTATTGGTTATTATTTTCATTTTTCAGAAATTAAGTTCTTTTGCTTGTAATCCAAGATTCTGTTACCTTTCCCGTTAACTGTTTCTTAATATTAAAAAAACAACTGGAAACACTTTCCAGCAAGTAATATGCTCCCCAATTATTAGCATGACATGTCATGGTTCGCGGAAGAGATGTCTTTAAATTTTTCAAGCTGCATAGATATTCAACTCAAAAAGTTTCTGTGAGTATACTTATTGAAACTCAGAGCTTCACATAGTGATGAAATACTAGCCCAGCCACCAAAACCAAGAATTGTCAACTGGTTCGTTCATACTACCATCATTCGCCTTTCGGTAACTATATGCATGTTTATCAATGGAGAATGTGACGTGTTCTTCACTAGCAATTCTAGAGATAATCTAGAAGTTTTTGAAGATGTTGCAGCATTGCCAACTGAGAACAGTCACTAGGATTAGATATTGCGATTTTGCTTTCTTCGGTAGATTCTTTTATATTTATTCTGAAGGTAAAACACGATTTGCATATAGTGATAATATCTTCACTCCCTTGAGCTCTCATGATGAACTTAATGTAGTTTCCCCTGGATATTTTTTTGCATTAGCACAATAACACCCATAAAAATAAAATTCAATTGAGCATTAGCTCCAACAAATCTATTTACACCCTTAGACTTAATCATAGATGGTGGAAAGACTAGGAAGACTACGGCCTGGTGGTCAGGAAGGGCAAAAGGTACTCGATGGATTAGTTGATATGTGTGCAAGCTGGCTCATATACTGTTCTTCTATATAATAGACACATTGACACACACATGGTTGATGTGTGTCTAAGCTGGCTCGTATACTATTCTTCTAAAAAATAGACACATTGACACACACATGAAGGCGAAATATAAGGAGACCAAACACCCATCCGCAACCGATGTGGGAGAATCAACACTAAATTTTAATCCTAAGTTTGCCTATGTATAACTATTTACCTCAAAGTATGGTACCAACATATCTACTTAAGTTACGCTACTAATGCTTGCTCTATGGTTCTTTTATATATGCTAATCCTCCTTTATAATGCTGTTGTCCATGAAATACAGACTGGTTGGAAATGCCTGGTTCATTAATCCTACTCCTAGTGGTTGCACCCAACTTCTTTGCCCACACTCTCAGAGACAGTTGGATTGGCACTGCAATATGTCTTTTGATTGGCTGCTATCTCCTCCAAGAGCACATCAGAGCCTCCGGTGGATTCAGAAATTCCTTCACACAAAGTAATGGTATATCTAACACAGTTGGTATAATCCTTCTGTTGGTCTATCCAATCTGGGCTCTGCTACTTGGAGTCGTTTGATGAACTATAGCTGCAACAGTCATATGTGTGTTTCGTCCACGAATTTCAATGTTCAATGCTGCAAGCAGACCTCTGAATAAATGGATTTGGTTTTGTTTAAACATTTCTGGTTATGTGATTATGTACTTTTGACATATAAAGTACTTATGGTTGATGGATTTAAGTTGTAAAGTTTTCTTCACACATTTCACGCTTGCAAACTATGAACTTGGAAAGGTGACAATTATAGTATTATTTTTATATGGCTAATCAAACACTACCTTGTGTGAAATTTTGTGTTTGGCTTGAGTTTGTCTAAATTTCAAATTATAGGATCAATTAGAATTACGGCGATTTAAGAAAGAATGATATAAATTTCTCATTACAATAAATCTTGCGATTCAAAAGAAAGTATTTTTTCCTATCTACTAAACCATTGGTAGTCGCTCAATAATTGTTCTGGTGGGAGGTACCAATGTGGAATAGTTGAGAACTTGAGATGAACGAAGCTAGTTCAGGTACCAAAACTAAAAGGGAGAAAAAGATTTTTTTTAGTACCTCTTACTAATATCTTGTTTGGTTATAAAGTTTGGGATAACTTATCCCATAATTAATACGTAGGGTTCGTTTGGTCATGTGATATGAAATCATGATATTAAATTATGAGATGAAGTGGAAGTTTTGTATGGACATGCAATTTGAACTTTTTATGTTGTATATTTTCTCATAAACATAAAATCACCATAAGTTATAAAAACTATTAAAATTGTTCCAGTTCTTTATACAATCTTACCAAATAAGCAAAAGTTTATAAAATCACATAATATAAAATCATGATATGAAATTATGAGATGAAGTTAAAGTTTTGTATGAACATGCAATTTGGATTTTTATGTTATATATTTTCTCACAAACATAAAATTCATAAGTTGTAAAACTATTAAAATTGTTCCAATTCTTTATACAATCATACCAAATAAGCAAAAGTTTATAAAATCATATAATATACTATCATAGAACTAAAAAAAAATACAACATTTATTGATTAAACTTTAATTCAATAAAAAAATAAATTTGAACATAAGTTGTAGTGTACTAGCTTTTAATACACCCCCCCCCCCCCCCACGTAATATAGACAATCTTCTCACTTGAACTTGCATTTCTCAATCATATGACCGAGAAACGAACCAACATTGTTGCTTTGTGCCATTTGTTGGTCAATTTGGTTGGTAAATAAATTTGATCAGAAATAAAGAATTTGGTGAATATAAATGGAAAAGAAGGAATTGATTTGAAATAATAATAAATTTTATGTTGATGAGAATAATCGTTATATGAATATAAATGATTTAAAAAGTAATAAGAAATATAAATTTTATTTACATATGAAATAAAGTGTTAGTAGATATAAATATGGGCTGTTTTTATAAAATATAAACTTGTAGGACAATTTTTGTACTTATAAAAGCCTCAAATTATGATTTGAAATTCTCAAATTATGCTCTTTTGAGAATTTGAAACTTCATCTCACGATATGAAATCAACGTGAAATCACATCTCCAAACGCCTACTTAGTACTGGATAAGTTATCATTGCCTCCGAGTGAAATAATTATTTTGGGATCATATTTCTCAAATAAAATAGTTAAAATGACAAAATTACCTATCAAACCCTTTGTATACCTTACTTTTCAGTTTTCACATCCTCTTGTGAGTATTTTTTATATACAAATAATTTATTCTTAAAAATTACGCAACACATATTATTTTTAGTGTAGCAAATCAAGGAACTATTCAACATAATTAATCACACATCATAACTGATTTTCGAACCAAACTAAAGTATGAGATGTTTTTAACATTTGGGCTAAAATTGGGGTAACCCGAAAATTTATTTCACAAGTACACTAACTCACTCCTTTACTTGTGCTCCAAAACCCTAGCCCTAAAACCCTCTGCCTAAGTGCGATACTTTGCTCAAGCGATATGTCGGGAAGAGGAGATGATAGTGATTCCGATGCGCCGGAAGAACTAACTTCCGTACAGGTTTGTTTAACTCTGAAATCTCTTATCAAAATTACTGTCTTTTGCGATAGCAGATGTAGTCGAAGAAGTTGAGCTAATTGGTTTTCATTGCAGGGAATTCAAAACAATGAGGAGATTACAAAAGTTGAAAGACAACATAAGGCTAGGTATGCTTTCTTCATAATTTGATTTGATTTTTTGTTTTGTTTCGAGGGAAGGTAATTGGAAGCTAAAAATTCAGCTCTTTTAAGGTTTCTGTAATGCTAGTTTAGCACTAGTTTATTTATTAGCCATCCGAGTATGATAAATACTTGAACTTTGTTTGATATCCTGCTTTGTAGTGGATGCAAGTGCGCTCTCTGACTTAAAATCATGGATCATTCTCAGTTTTAATTTGAAAGCTTGTATCTTTGAGAAGATGGGAGATCACTTTTTTTTCTTTCGATAACCGCGGGCCAGTTTTCCCGCACCTCCACTAATTCTAAGGTATACCTGTCACCTCCCACCAGCAAGCAACAAGTACTAGATCACTCTGTCCATCAGGGCTAAGATAGATAGGAAGAATCACCTAGTGTTTTTTTGTCTCCGATGAGAATAGAACTTGAGGCCACATGGTTCTCAACCACTTCATTGACCACTAGGCCACACCCAAGGGTGTTCTGGGAGTTCACTTTTTTTCTGCCAATTTTGAAATTCAACATGGCATTTCATTTTTTCATACTAAGGTTAATGTGTTTGTTGGATTCTGGCATAATTGCTCAATTTATCTGGTGATCAGTAGTGAATTAGTTTAATTGTTAAGGAAGCTATTTACTTCATAGCTCTTAAGGTTTGAATTGGAGAAAGTTGCATTTCTGTACAAAAGTTTTTTTATTTTAAAGTAAAGATTCCACCGAGATTTGAACTCCTGTTTAAAAGCATCGTGACGGGAGAAAAAGGAGAAAGTTAAGAGTTTTTCGTAAATTGAGAAGTAAACAAGTATTATATCACTGTGTTGTCGTAGGCTTGATATTCAGGTATATGTGTTCTAGTCTAGAAATGTTTTGTCCTTACAAACTGGTTTGCTCAGTTGGTTTGGAGGATACATGTAAGAGCCTAATCAGTATTAGGTTCAAGGAAATATGAAAGTTCTTCTATTTGCCATGCAGGTCCTCTTAGTTCTTCTAAGAGCCTAATCTAGATGTCAACTTCGATTTGTTTATGGTCCTTTGATCCTGTTATTTATAACATTAAAGATGATCCATTATCTAAGTCCCAAAAACTAATGTAAGCTACCTGTGAACTTTTATTCATTTGGGGATATTAGTGGAAAATTCGACATGTTTGATTTGGTAGTTTTATCCCGGGGATTATAGCCTTTAATTGCAAAACGTGAGCAACTTATGGCCGTTGCATCATTAGTCATGAAATGACTGCTCTGTTGTAGAGTTGTTCGGGAAAGGAAGGAACGTCGTAGACAATGGGCTCAAAAGTTAACTCCACGACCTACACAAAATGATGAAAGCATTGAAGACACAAAAGAACCTGAAAATGCCCAGGAGTCAAAGGACAATAGAGGGATGCTGCCTGATGAGATTGTAAAAATTCTTGCAGCTCGTGAGAAGTAAGTTAGTTGTTGCATTTCTTGGTTTATTGGTAGTTCCGGTCTTCTCATACTCTTCTCAATTCTTGAAAAACGGTACTCAATTGTGTGCAGGAAAGTTTTCTCGTCAGACTCGGAGGAAGAACATGAGAAGCAGCCTACATCTAAAAAGAAAAGATCCAAGAGATCTGGGTGAGCATCATGCTCTCTTCTTGTTTAATTAATATGATATTGATAACTCGCTCTTATTTACTCACTGTATGTTTGCTACAGGTCTGGACCAGTTATTTTGAAGGATCTTCCACCTCCTCCGTGCTTAGAGAGCTCGCTGGCATTCTTGAAGAAACGCAAGATGCAGGTGTCAAGATCATCAGCTGTTCTGAACAATTCCAGTCAAGCATTACGGCTCCTATGTACATCTGGCTTGCTACGTACCAAATGATAGGTGATGAATTTGAAGATTTTAGCTCGGGCTGATGTCAATGTGGTATTGCTTGCTATAATGGGAAATATGCTGGTAGAGGTGTTAAATGGCGAGCTGGTTTTGGACACTGATGGGTAAACCAAAAAAACAAAACAATGTAACAACTTTTTGATGGTATATTGCAATTTTATTGATACTTGTGGGTAGGAACTACTGAGCTGTTTATACTGCAACAGTCTCATTGTCAAGTGTTGAATCATTAAGTGGTTGCACAAGATTATGAATTGCTTCTAATGATCATGATATTCCTCTAATCTGTTATACAAGTTTGCTAAGGTTTGAGAAATGACAACCAATTTTTTTAAACTTGCGATATTCTCGGTTGGTGCTAGGCAAATTGACTTCCAAAATCTAAGTTGGTTGCCTTGTGAGGGTTCAATTTTTCACCTTTTAATCTCATTCCTCATTTTCTCTTCCCCTCCTCTTTAATATTGTTCGAAGTTCCAATTCAGTGCCATACATTGGAGTATCTAGAGAGCTGAGAAAAGAGTTCCAAGTTATATATCTACTGAATTTTGATCACTGCTAATTCAATGTAGTATCAAAAGTTGAATTCCAATCTTATGCTAGACAATGTCTTAAAGATCTCCACTAGATTGGCATGAAAAAATAATCTGACTCGCTTATATGGAGCACATATATTCATAAATAAAATGTTTATCAAGCTCTTAGATGAGATGATTACAAAACCTTTTAGACAAAATGGATGAATGAGGAAACAATAGTCTGTTGGATAACAGTTTTAACCCCAATCGGTTAATCTACAAGACAAGAAAGCTACTCAAAATTTGTACAACACTTGCTGCTCTCTTTATGCAGCCAGTACTCACAGATGTATAAGGAATCTCTTTTTGATGCCCAAAGTTTTGATTACATACAAATACAAGGACATAAAGACAAAATCTCCTTGTCTTGGTTTCTTTGACCCTTAACCGGAAGTAGGTAGATATATGCTTACTCAGTTATAAAACTATAGCGGGCTTGCTCCTGCGTGCTCAACAGAATATTCTTACATGCCCAACCCAAAGACAACATTTGCTCATACAAGAAACTCAAGTTTTGTACTGTTAATCTCTTGCCATCTTCAACCAGGTTAAACCATTGCTTGAGAACTGCACTAGAACTACCACAAGTTTCTATACCCTTGCAGACGTAACTTGCCTGTCAATCACCAGAATAGTTTATTATAAAGAAAACTAACCATTATAAAGAGCTCAGCAAGAACAAGCATTGCTAGATATGTTATTTGAAGTAAAACTATTGGTTTACCAGTATCTCTCAGTTCATTTGCAAAGGAAAATCATCAGTTCCAAATTACTACTTGATGAAGTCATTACTATGAGAAGAGATGTATACAATATCTTACATGCAATATGCCCCTGATCACAGCTATAGTGTCTGCCCCTTCCCGCAGAGAAAGTAGGACACCATACTGTAATAGCAAAGCAAGAAGAACTGCTTAAGAAACACATTCAGAAGAGTAACAGCTTGCCTGTCCCTGATTAAAACTCTCTTTTACTTTTTGGCTATACATACCTCCTGGTTCCTTTCCAATTCACTGGTCAAACTCTCTGGGCTCAAGAAATAGAAGTCTTCACTATTCAAAGATTGCATCGTCATCGCAGATAGCTTTGCTGTGCAACGTCTAGGATTTAAGCAACCAATTCTGATAGACCACGGCTCTCTGCCTGATTAAAGCTGATTAAGAATGTTTCTCTACTAATGATGTAGCGGTTAACCAAGCAACAAGGCCTTGTTACGGTAAAATGCAAATTAAAAATTACCTCTGCTCCAAGATAAGCCAATACCCTCCTGTTTACTCACCTCTTCAGGTGATGGGACAAATCCTTGTTGAATCCATGTGCTTATAATGATTTTAAGCCTATCCTAGAATTAATGTAAAAGGAGTGATATCCGAATCAACACGTAAAGATGATTAACGTTCACTCAATAAAGACTGTCATATCACATATTTCTTCTCCTTAAAGAAAATATAACCCAAGTTTAGTAGCCAAAAAAAGGGAGTATAATTCAACTTGAATACAAATTCTTTCAGTAGAGAACGAGGGCCAACCTTAGTTAATGTCTGCAGATGCACATGCTTTAGTCCTTGATAAATACCAAAAAGGTCAAGCACCGAGAAGACTGGGTACATCACATATATTAGACCTGCTTGCAATCTTTTATATCATTCAGAAGTCAGAAATCTACATTACAGGGATTACCAGAAGCAGCACAAAAATGGGTCGACCAATTCTTGCTTTTAGGATCTTATTGTATAAGGAAATGGTGGAAGATATAAATCACATGTTCACTTCTCATATTACAGTGTGATAAGGAAATAGTGAGACCCGAGTTGTATAAACTGTTCCACTTCAAGCACAACAAGATAGACCAAATGGATAGGTTCATAGAGGCAAATGCAAAGAATCTCTTTATCATTTCAAAATGTAGATAAAAGCTGACACTTCAGAAATTCAAGTTGGAAAACAAACAAACCTTGGATTGTTAGCAGACAGTATGTTCAGGGTTGCAGCAAGTGTGAGACCAAGATTATCAAAGCAGACTGTTTGAATCTGAAACATAAACGAACAGTCAGATTGGAAGTGTGAAACTAATAAGAATCCAGCATGACATGATGAAATATTGTAGAGAACCTGTCCTTTTGCAGAAACCTCGCCTAGGTTATCAGCAACTGCAAAGCTTCTATGAACAGCAGTCTGTTGATGTGTCAACAATAAATTCTCAAACAGAAATTCTATCTCAAATTTGTTAATGTTACTGATAAATCCAGAAGACACCTGTGCTTATTCATATCACTAAAAATTTAACATGCGATTTGGCTATTTAAGCGAACTACAATTAGTCAATTACTGAACATAGCCATTTTCCAAATAAACTGGCAAAAACAAGCAGTTACTCCCTGATAATTTCATATTTCACTTGCATGTTAGAGGAGAAACTCAAGGTATAATTGCATCAATTCTCTTCCAGCTGTTACAGATATTCTAAAAACGCTTAAATCCAGAAGACATATTTTTTCTCTCAGATCTCTAGGACTTGTGAAAGTGAATTGGTCATTAGCAGAAGCAATTAGAAGGCTAGAGTACTCAACTTCAACTAATTTCACTTTCAGAAAGCAATTCAACCAAGTGACAAAATTAAGTGTGTCAGCTTTATTATGCCATAGTTAACCTGGGACCTCACAGTAGAAATTCAAAGCCTCACAAGTGCATATATTTATTAGCCTACTATTTTGAATATGCCAAAGGCACTTCACATCTTAATAGCTCTCTACATAACAAAATTTTGAAGAAATCAATTTAGATGTCAAATTGCAGTGGAATTGTTAGAAACTATAAAGGGAAATAAAACATGGTAAACAGCTAAATGGCAAGATAAGGGAAAAGGTATCATTTGCAGCCAAAATAACTAACTCACATCTAACAAGTATCATAACAAAGAGCTAAAGCTGGAGAATTTGAGATCAGATCCCAAAAGTGTTACACATGCATATAAATATAAAACATCATATGTTTTGTAGCTGAGACTTACACTAGTTGCTAGGTAACACGCAAGGCTTATTTGCTTGGCAATGTTGGCAATTGATGCAAGCATCAAAAAGTATTGTGGGAATACAGGAGTCAACAATTCAACTCCAATGCTCAAACTGAAGAGAACTGATGTACAGAACCTTACTCTCTGCAGCCAACCCCATAAAACAAATTAAGAAACAAACAGATGAAACTTTTACATAGTCTCTTGAGGTAATCTTGCTTTAAAAGCTGGCAATCTTTCTGGTGTACAAGTCAACATTTTTAGAGAAGATATATAAGCATCATTTTCCAAAAGATAAAAATGATTTTTTTTTTTTGATAACCGAGAAATCCGTCTGTGACCCGCCCTTTGGACAAAAATGAATTTTGACTATCAAAAATCAGTAAAATAAGCTTTATAAGATGAGTTGCACAAACTATTCTCTGTTGTTTTATGTTTTTTTTTGAAATAGAACTATTCTCTGTTGTTTTATGTTAGAAAGCTATACCTTAAGATTGGTATCAAAAGAAGATGCTAGGCTAGCAGTGTAGATGCACCTGCACAACCGTCCAAGACCATCCTTCAGGACCCAATTTAGTGCAGCAGCCAATGGAAGTGAACGGGAGTTCCCAATTCCAATTGCCCGTAACATAGCCTGTACATTGTCATTCGCAAAATACAACCGATTACACAAGCCATTGTCAATGAAGGAATTTGAGTGATGTGCACCTTAGATACTAACTCCCATTGTGCAGGCACACAAATATGAAGTAAACTACTGGTACCTTCATAAAGATCATCAAGAGTAATTCCACAGGTGAACTACAAAATGGTTAATTCCCCATATAAAGATCATAATGACTAATTACACCAGTGTCTCTAAACAAACATCATGAGCTCCGACGGAAGAATCCAAACTCAACACTAAAAGTCTAAAATTTGAACTGTTCACCATATATTAATAAACACGTTTTACAAGTTCAATAGCTGAGATATGAATATGCAAAATCAGAATCTTAAATTGTTACCATTCACCAACAATTTTAGAAGTTTGAGAGTCGAAATATGAAGATTCAACATCAAAATCCCAACTTTAATACCTAGCATACAAATAATTTACAAGTTTGGTAGCTGAAACAAAGATTGAAACTTTCACCGTATACAACAATTTACAAGTTCAATAACCAGAATATGAAGATTGAATACCAAATATTAACTAGTTAAATAGCTGAAATATGAAAATTCAACATCAAAATCTAAACTTTGTTGTATAACAGTAATTTACCAAAAAAATAAGTGTACCTGGGTCGCCAGAACTTGGAGAGCAGAACTGGAAACACGATGAACAAACTTCCACTTCACGTATTCAAGGTAATTACGACTAACTTCCCTCGGAAGAAAGAAATTTCTGATTGCCGAAACACAAATTCTGACCAACTTATGAACTGTATCTTCAAAATTAGAGTCGAAATCGGATATAGAAAAAGAATTTCCGTCAACAGATACCAACTTCAAGTCTTTCCCATCCCAAATATACCTAGAATGACTATCTGATTTGCGAACAGAGACTGGAAGATAAAAAGGCAGAGTAGTTTCTTCTTGTTGCTTA